AAATAGGAGCAGCTTTCTCTGCTGTATCTCTGCTGCTTTGAGGCTGCTCTGGTTCCCAGAGGTGAATTAACTCTCTCTTCTGTGCACATTTTCACACTGCAAATATCTTTTATTTTATCTCTCTGCTGGCTGTGAAGCGAGCTCATGCCCTGAATTGTGGCCACTGCCTTGGAGTAGTTTGGGGTCAAGGGAATGAGATCCTGCAGGGAGCATTTCTGCTGCCTGCAACCTCCCCTCATGTTTTCACTGGTTTAAAATGGAAACACCCCAAATGTGCAATATTTTGAATAAATCTACTGGTACAAATGACCCAAAAGAAGCCGTTTCAGCCCTAAAAATGAACAAGAATAACTCACAAGCATTAAAAAGCTGAGTTAAGTTTTGAAGGGCAAGACGTGGTTTGGACTAAAAGAAGAAGCCAGAATTCCTTGTGTGGCACTGACTAAACCAGCTAAACYACCAAAACCATAGGATTAAAATCACTAACACAATCCAGAATCCTGTAAATGTATTCCAGGAGGCTGATAACCAGCAAGTTTCATTCTTACCCACTTCCTGCATCAAAAAAGACCTAAATTATGTTTTGAGCTCTCCTAAAGAGAGCTTGGCATGTTTACTTAGGTAGTGTCCAAAATGCTGGGGGTAGAAGCCACCTTTATTTATTTTTTTTTTAATCACCCCAAGAATTCTTGTGAAGCACTTATAATTTGTTCTGACAGCATCCTCTATTTCAGAAAATAAAGAATTAACACTGAGAGCAATGTTGCTCTTTGAAACGAAACCAGGCTTGAAAATGTCATTGAAAGTTACTGAACTGCCAGTATCAAAAGAAGAAGAAATTCACCTCATTTGTTGTTTCTATGTCTCAGTGCAGCCAATTTTGTAAGGAAGGGAACTTTGGCAARGATATTTTTTCTATATCTCTACAGTTTTTCATGTAAGTTAATGCAGATAATTRCACCTTCAGCTTTGAAAATTTGTTTTCCACTTCCTTCTTCCTCTGAAGAGCAAGTGATTTATCCACATCTGTGATGTTAGAACATTCTTTTCTTTCTTGTGCCTCTCTTTGCTGTGCACCACATGCCTGGGAGAAAGATTTGCAGGATACAAGAAATCATTTTCTTAATTAACAACAGGAAAGCAAATTCAAAGGCTTTAAAGATGTAAGTAATCTTTAATTTTAGACATAACAATGCATTTACTGACAATTTAAAACCTCTCCCTACTTATCCTACCTTCTAATTAACAACTCTTCTTGTTTGCCTTAATRGCAAATCTTTAATACAAATCTTTAATACAATTTTAGTGAATCACTTCCTTTCAGTTACACTTTCTCAAATATATTTCTGTACAGCTAAGTCATTTGAGAGAGTTCAGTGTTACATCAGTTTCACTGCACATTAATACAAAACAGAGGCTAAATCTACAAAATGCAAAATGCAAAATGCCTTGGACAACGGTCCATACAAAGTGCAGGGCATTAAAATGCAATACAGATAGAATAAACAACATGACCCAATACAATTTCACTCTCTAAAAAACAATCCATTTAAATACATATTAATATAATACAAAACCAAGTATTTGTGGGAAAAATACACTGTCTATACAAGCAGAGGGCATTAAAATGCAATAAGCAGGCCAGCATAAAATAAAATTAATACAAATGACTTTGCAAAGCTGAGTAATTCCTGACCAACAAACGGTCATACAAAATTAGAAAACAGCATTTTTTGTATCACAAAATCCTAA